CTAATTCTATGATACCACGATTCTGTGATTCTATAAAGTATGAGCGCAGATTCTATCATACTAAGTTTTGTAACTTGAATAAAAAATTAGAAGTTAATTTATGTATCCTGGGTCATATCATGACAATAGCTTTTAGCATAGAGAATAGAATAAGAATAGAATAGAATAGAATAGAATAGAATAGAATAGAATAGAATAGGACCTGGAAGGGACCTTGGAGGTCTTCTAGTTTAGTCCTCTGCTCATGCAGCCTATACCATCAGACAAGTGACTGTCTAGCCCAGGGGTAGGCAACCCAAAATACTCAAAGAGCCACTTGGACCCATTTCCCACCGAAAACAAAACACAGGGAGCCGCAAAACCCTTTGGATATCTAAAATGAAGATAACACTGCATATATCCTTTTTTACCTTTATTATATATATATATATATAAGGATATTTGCAGTGTGTTCTTCATTTTAGATGTCAAAAGGGTCTCTCTCTTTGTCCCTCCCTCCCTCTCCCCCTCCCCCTCCCTCTTTCTGCCCTTGGTCTGCCAGTCTTCTTCCCCCACTCTGTGTGTGTGTGTGTGTGTGTGTGTGTGTGTGTGTGTGAGAGAGAGAGAGAGAGAGAGAGAGAGAGGCACTTGCACTTTCCCCTTTCTCTCTTTCCTCTCCCTCTTTCCTCTCTCCCTTTCTTTCCTCTCCCTCTTTCCTCTCCCTCCCTTTCTCTTTCCTCTTTCTTCCTTTCTCCCTTCCTCTTTCTCTTTACTCTTTCCCCCTTTCCTTTCTCCCTTTCTTTCTTTCCTCTTTCCTTTTTCTTTCCTCTCCCTCTCCCTTTCTCTTTCCTCTCCCTTTCTCTTTTCTCTTTCTCCCTTTCTCTCCTCTTTCTCTTTCCTCTTTCTCCTTCTTTCTTTCTTTCCTCTCTCCCCTTCTCCCTCCTTCTTTCATCTCCCTTTCTCTTTTCTGTTTCTCCCTTTCTTTTACTTTCCTTTCCTCTTTCTTTCCTCTCCCCCCTCCCCCTCCCTCTCTTT